GCAGCCAGAGAACATCACCGTTACCGCGGGGCTCCAGCCAGGAGGTGTTGCAAGTCACTCCCGGACACTCGGTGGGTCCCACCGAGGGGTGTGACCGGCAGAGCAGGCCCCAGCACAGCAGGCCCCAGGGCTCCTCCCGCCTCTTACCCGGCCGGTTGTCCGTGGGCGGCGACAGGAGGTCTCTCATTTGTGCGTCTTTCAGTCCCTCCGCCCACTGCACGTCCAGGGTGCGGAGCAAAGGACAACTAGAACTACAAAGTGCCGACACTGCTATCCATGAGCACCCTGAGAGCAGCAGGTCCCGGAGCCCTGCGGGTACACAAGAGGTTGGAGCTGTGACCTCCCCAGGGACGTGGCGGTGCCCTCTGCTACCAGGCAGGGCAAGCAGGGACCCGTGAGCCTCTTCCTGCCCAGCTCCCCATCTCTGCCAGCACCTGGAACCCCACGGCTGTGCCTGACCGCAGCCCCCGCCCCACTGCTCACCTCAGCACAGGCCCTTTCTGTTGTCTGCCTCAAATGATTTTAACTGAGCACACCCAATGAACACATCAAGTAGTCACAACAGAATTAATTTCGGGCCCATTTTAGAATAGAATCATAGAATCATCAAGGTTGGAGGAGACCTCTAAAAGCATCACGTCCAACCGCTAACCTCCTGTCACTCCACTCGAAACCCTGAACCATATCACCCAGCACCAGAAACCTCCCAGTGCCTCATTCCTAGGGGCATCTACTCCTCTCCCAAGACACCCCAATCCCTGTAGACTTCCCCCAGGGGCTGCAGTTCAGCCACAGACTGGTTTGCTACATCTGGTGATCAAAACACATCACTTACCTGGCAGTCTGTTGATAAGCCAACTCAGCTGCTTTTTAGATATATTTGTCCAGCTAAGATCGAGGGTTACAGGCTGTCTCCTAATAATGCCACTAAGCATAAGTGGAGTGATGGATTTACAATGGTTTAAATCTATTTTGGTCCATAATCTTTTGTCACAGCACCTATCCAAAAAGAAAAAGGCCAACAGCACTTAATGTGGGACTTGTTTGGATTTCTGCAAGGCTTTAAAAGGTGGCATTAAACAGTAGTAAAAACTACAGCATCTCACTGAGAAGAGCCAAAACAAAGTCCAGTGATGCTAAGAAAAGCACAACCCCACACACTGCTCCATAAATTTCAAGTTTCTCCCATCAAATGCATCCTGCAATAAAGCATGGGATTACTTCCACAGAATTACAAGCATCAACAACATTGGATCCCATTTTAAGTCACCTCAGCACTTAAAATCCACTTTCTAGCCTGAAGACAAGCCACCCCCTCCTTCCTTACCTTTTGAATGTAAAGACTGGTTTTAAATATTACTGTCCTGATTTCCCCTGTGCTTTCCTTACTTAAAAGCAGCGGATTTGGTAAAACAGATGCCCCTCTCCTGTTCTGTCTGTGTTACTCCTATCGCTGTGGCTTATGTGTTCTTTGGCTCTCCTTATGGTTCTCTGAAGAGCAATAACACCAAGTCCTGACAAGTGTGCAGGAATCTGCATTTCCTCAGGTGTTTTTTTTCCATTAACGAACCCTGTATTTAAGTGGAAAAGGCATGCACAGTTTTCAGTGACACCAAGAAGCTCAGAGAGGAGACACTGCACACACACCACCCCGCCCTGAATTATCGACCTCGCGATGCCGTGTCTGTACCCGGTCTGCTACCGGACTGTGCCGGAAAGGAGCCTGGCACAGTCTGCCCGTCCGTGTGCACGAAGGAGCCACCACGAGGCTCTGCTGTGGGACCCGTGGACCCGCCCAGCAAAGCCCAGTAAGGCGTCCCGCGGCCGGGCCAGCCCCGGCACCGGTGGGC